GAGAATGTGTGTGTGTGTGTGTTGGGGGGGTGAGGAAGAGAGAGAGAGACTGTGTGTGTGTATGTGTGTGTGTGTGTGTGTGTGTGTTGGAGGGGTGGGGAAGAGAGAGAGAGACTGTGTGTGTGTGTTGGGGGGGTGGGGAAGAGAGAGAGAGACTGTGTGTGTGTGAGAGAGGGGGGTAGAGAGAGAGACTGTGTGTGTGTGAGATGGGGGGTAAGAGAGAGAGAGACTGTGTGTGTGTGTGGGGCAGGAGAGAGAGTGTGTGTGTGTGTGTATGTGTGTGTGTGTGTGAGGGAGAGGTGGGGAAGAGAGAGAGACCATGTGTGTGTGTGAGAGGCGGGGAAGAGAGAGAAACTGTGTGTGTGTGTGTGTGTGTGTGTGTCTGTGTGAGTGGGGGGGAAGAGAGAGGGAATGTGTGTGTGTGTGTGTGTGTGTGTTGGGGGGGTGGGGAAGAGAGAGAGAGAACGTGTGTGTTGGGGAGGAAAGAGGGAGAGCGAGCGTGCATGCGTCGGCGGGGTGGTGAGAGAGGGGGAGAGCGAGCGTGCGTCGGCGGGGTGGTGAGAGAGTGTGTGTGTGTAAATGTCCTCCAAGGCGGATTCCAGGATACACAACAATGCAGAGTCGTCAAGCGAAGGTTGATAACCAAGTTTAGTACCCATGAGGATGGGCTCAGCTGGGATCTCATCCACACTATAAACTCTCTCGTTCTTGTTCTCGCTCTTGCTATCTCGCTGTCACTCCCTCTCTCTCTCACACTCTCACAACACACACACACACACCCTCTATCTCTATCTCTCCCCACCGCGTGCGCGCACACGCACACGCACGCGTACACACACACACACACACACACACACACACACTCTCTCTCTCCATCCCTCACACACACACACTGTTTCCCCCCCCCTACCCACACACGCTCCCCCCCCTGGACACACACACACACTCCCCCCCCCCCCCCGATATACACACACACACTTTCCCCCCTATACACACACACACTTTCCCCCCAATACACACACAACTTTCCCTCCCCAATACACACACAACTTTCCCTCCCCAATACACACATACACTTCCCCTCCGATACACACACACACTCTGACACTCACTCACATGCACGCACACACACTCTCACAATCTCACATACAAACTCATTCAATCACTTTCACACACACACACCGTCACACTCTCTCAAGTGCGCATGCACCACACATACACATGCACACACTCTCTCTCTTTCTCTATCTCTCCTTGCATGGTGTTTTGCATATACATTGGTTTTATTGGTTGTGGGTATGGGATTCTTTACATTCGTCAGTAGCTGCTGTAGGGTGGTTGGTTTATGGGCTACCCTGATATCTAGGGGCCTGAGTAGTCTTGTGGTCATGCCTGATATGTCTCTGATGTATGGTAGGGTGACCAGTGTATCTGGCCGTGTTGTCGTCTTGTTGTGGTTTGAGTGGAGGTAATGCTGAATTTTGCTTTTTGGGTATCCATTCCTTTTAAAAACTCCATGTAAGTGTTCCTGTAATGCTTTGCAGAATTCCAAGTTACTGAAGTATGTTGGGCTTGTTTGAATAGTGTCCTGATGTAGTTCCGTGTATGGATGTTGGGTGATTGTTGGTGTAATTAAGTATCTGGTCCATATGGATGGGTTCTTTGTATACGCTGGTCTGGAGTTCCCTGTTCTTACATTCCACCATTATGTCTAGGAAGGGTCGTCGGTATTGTTCTCCTTTCTCTTTTGTGAATTTTATTCCGGCAAGGGTGTTGTTTATGTGTCGGTGAGTTTCTTCTCGTCTTGTGCGTTTGATGATCATGAAGGTGTCATCTACATAGCAGTCCTCTGAGTTTGGGTTGGATAGTGGGGAGCGCTGTTTGTTCTTCTTTGCATTACTGCTTTTGCTATCAGTCCTGATATTGGGGATCCCATTGGTGTTCCGTTGATCTGTTTGAATATACGGTTGTTGAAGGTGATGTGGGTTGTGAGGCACAGATCCAGCAGTTTCAGGGTTCTGTCCTTGTTGATGCTGTTGCTGTCATGGGATGCCTGCCTTCCTGATTCATCCAGCCATGTGGCAATTGTCTCTTTGGTTAGGTTGATGTTTAAGGATGTAAATAGTGCTGTTATTATCTTGTCCTCTTCTGTTCTGGTGTCCTTGATGATGCTGAGGAATTCTTAGGAGGAGCGGATGGAGTGGGTAGTGTTGTCAACTAAGTATTTCAGTTTCCGTTGTAGTTCTTCGGCTAGTCTATATGTTGGCATACCTGGTAGTGAGACAATAGGTCTGAGGGGGCCTCTGGTTAGTGTACCTTAGGGAGTCCATAGAAACGGGGTGTGTTGAATCCCTCTGGCTTCATTTTTTGGCAGTCTGTCTTGCTGGTATCTCCTGAGTTGTGTAATTTCTTCAGAGTTGTTGTAATCTGGTTCCCTGCAAGGACTGTGAGAAACATTACACTGGCCAAACTGGAAGAAAACTGACAATGAGGATAAACAAACACCAACTAGCCATCAAGAGACACGACCAGTTCTCACTGATCTCAGTGCACACAGACAAAGAAGGACACGAATTCGACTAGGACAATGTATCCATAATAGCACAAGTCAAACAGAGACATGCCAGGGAATTCCTGGAGGCCTGGCATTCCAACCAGAACTCCATCAACAAGCACATTATACTGGACCTGATATACAAACCACTGAAAAACAAAACCAGAAGTGATGCCAACCACCCCAACAAACCGAGACACATAAATTACAAATGGGCAGAACACCAACGCTTCATCGGAAGTGCACTGATGATGTTACGTAGCAAGGTGACGAAACGTCTGCAATCAAACATACCAGCTCAATGAGCAAGTCTACAATCACATCCTGTTTTGCTCCACGAAATAAAACCTGACCCCAGTTTAAGCATAGGCAGATTCTAAACAAGATCTCACACCTAAAATGCATTGTCAGACCTGGGATGTCACTTCTTGTATACATTGATAAAACCTTTAGTTATCTCAGGACAATGTCTTGAAAGGAATCTGGATTTTGCATTTCAATCATTAGTCTCCTTCCTAACTGATTAAAGATTCAACAAAAGGCAGCCAGTTTTGGGGTTCTTACCTTTCTGCCTATGAATTCTGTGTCTTATACACTCCCTCTCACACTACACCTAAGGAAGGACCTGAGCTCTGAAAGCTTGTGTTTTCAAATAAACCTGTTGGACTATAACCTGGTGTCATGTGATTTTTGACCTTGACCACCCCAGTCCAACACCAGCATCTCCACATCAGAATCCATAATAAGGGAGTTGAGGCCACAATTGGATCAGTTATAACCTTACTGAGTAATGGCAGAGGCTTGAGGTGTGAAATGGTAACCTCCTATGCATGCATCTTCCTTATGGTTTTAACGTCTTCATCAGGGCTTTATTGTATCAGAAGCTAAAAGTCTCAATAACGGAAAGATGCCAAAATTCTCTGAATTTTTTTCACTGGTGTCCATCTGTTTAATCAAACAGCGTGCATACAAGCATAAATATGAATATATACCATTACCCTATACAAAAATAACCTTGCTCAGTCATGCATTCTGAGCTTTTGCTCAATTACCAATTCTATGTTAAACTATATGAACCAGTGTATTAACAATAAATCAGTTTTAAATTAAAAGTTTTATTTTTTTTGTCCCAACTAGTAGAGTTGTTTAATAAAAGTATAAATAATGTTTATATTTCGAATTTCATTCTCACATTCAATTAGGAGCAGTATTGCAGTGACTTAAGCTTGAATTTTAGTACTGTCCACCAGTAGTACTCATGTTTGTGACGTTAACGTTCAAATATAATGGACATAATTTGTGATGGTTGCTACTATTTCAATACTTCGATTCATTACTTTAGGCAAAGATACCTTGCTTTGCAGATGCACAGAATATTACAGAGAGGCGTATTCCTTGTCCCCTACCCACACCCCTTCCACAGAACCCAGTTGAAAGTCTATTGATATTAAGTCAGCTTTATCCTAATGGTACACCCAGGTTTGATGTGATGCATGTGGTCTTAATAAATTGAAAGTGGGACCTCTGCTCCTAAGAAACACTAGTTCCCGCCTCCAGATCTAATAACAAATTAACTACATGTGCTGAATATGAACTTGGAAAGATCTGAAGTGGTACATACTTGAAGGAGTATAAAATGTATGACCCAATGTGACAATGTCATGAGAACCTGGTAGAAGAGTAGTTTCTCTTGGGAGAGAGAGACTCAAGTTCGCGTTCTTCCAGCGTAGTAACATAGATCCTGTTCCTATAACCTGTAAATCTATACAGAGATGCAATAAACTAAATTTCTTCTTTAGCCTAAAATCGGAAGGACTAATTGTGGCTGGATTACTTTTAAATGTTTTTTGGTTAAGGCTGAAAGTAGCCCATTTCAAGCAAGCGATTATCCCACTTTTTTTTACCCTTGGGCATCATGTGGACCAGCAAGCAAAATATGGAGAAACTAAGTCAAACAGGAAAATTGAGTTTTAATAAGAAGGATTTTTGCCATACAATCTAGTTAGTGGCTGATATCTTTAGGTTCTGGAACATTGGCATGCATTGTTTTGTCCATATATCTGAAATCATAAATATAACAGTACAGAAAACAGCTGTGGCATATTGAATATCAGTGTTTGTCTGTACATGAGCCACCGATATGAGTACTACCCTGTTCCTAGTTGCAAACAGTCTTTAATAGTTCCTTTTTTGGACAGCAGTTATTTAATTAATTTTAAACTATGTTCATTGAGCTGCCTTCAATAATAATTTCTCACACAGAATTCCACTGTTTAAAATAATCCAAATAAATATTACCATTACCTTTCTTTTCTGGTCTCAAAATAACAACCGATTTCTTAAGCTGTTATTTGTGTTTTTATTGTTTATAGTGGTTGTTACGTGGGAGTGAAATGAAACCTATTTTTGGATAACACTGGTTTCTTTTCCTAACTATTTTCTGTAGGGCTTGATTCTACCAAAGATCCATGCCTAAATGTGAAATGTAGTAGACACAAAGTATGCATCGCACAAGACAACCATAGAGTGGTCTGCATTAGCCATAGACGGCTAACACACAGGTAAAGTACTTTATTCTAATTTAAATATATTTCACCTGATACATTTTCAATATTTTTTACCTGAATTATTTGATTTTAGTTGCTTTCACAATGTTGAGGCTGGACTATTCTGTAAATCTTGCACAAGTAAAGTTTAAATATATTATTTATGTACTTATGCAGATTAAAGGAAAATTGAGCATTGGTTCTATTCCAATGTTACAAAGTATAAAAAATGTAATAGTGGCTTGTCTACACAGAGTATTTTGTGTGAATCAAGGATGCTTTGTTTAATTTTCAAAGCTTTAATATAAATGACTAAGTATATGCAAAGTCATTAATGTTCCGTAAAGGTTTTGTATTTATTTTTACTATTTTCATTGGTTCCAACAGTTTCCTGCAGAAAAATGATGGCAGATCTGTAGCAACCCACCACACCACACATTAGAGACAGACGTTTAGCTAAGTCTGGAACTGCTTATTCTTTGGACTTACTAGCAGATTGATGAACAAAAGTAATGAAAGGTGATTCAAACAAACCAGTTCTAATCAACAAGGTGTAGAGCTGGATGAACACAGCAGGCCAAGCAGCATCGGAGGAGCAGGAATGCTGACCCTTCTTCAGAAATGGGGGAGGGGAAGGGGATTCTGAAATAAATAGGGAGAAAGGGGGAGGCGGATAGAAGATGGATAAAGGAAAAGATAGGCGGAGAGGAGACAGACCGGTCAAGGAGGCGGGGTTGGAGCCAGTAAAGGTGAGTGTAGGTGGGGAGTTAGGGAGGGGATAGGTCGGTCCAGGGAGGACGGACAGGTCAAGGGGGCAGGATGAGGCTAGTATGTAGGAGATAGGGGTGGGGCTTGAGGTGGGAGGGGTGGATAGGTGGAAGGACAGGTTAGGGAGGTGGGTATGAGCTGGGCTGGTTTTGGGATGTGGTAGAGGGAGGGGAGATTTTGAAGCTTGTGAAGTCCACATTGATACCATTGGGCTGCAGAGTTCCCAAGCAAAATATGAGATGCTGTTCCTGCAACCTTCAGGTGGCATCGTTGTGGCACTGCAGGAGGCCCAGGATGGACATGTCGTCCAAGGAGTGAGAGGGGGAGTTCAAATGGTTCGCGACTGGGAGGTGCAGTTGTTTGGTGCGAACTGAGTGTAGGTGTTCCACAAAGCAGTCCCCAAGCCTCTGCTTGGTTTCCCCAATGTAGAGGAGGCCACAACGGGAACAGCGGATACAATATACCACATTAGCAGATGTGCAGGTGGACATCTGTTTGATGTGGAAGGTCTTCTTGGGGCCTGGGATGGGGGTGAGGGGGGAGGTGTAGGGGCAGGTGTAGCAGTTCCTGCGGTTGCAGGGAAAAGTGCCGGGAGTGGTGGGTCTGGTGGGAAGTGTGGAGCGGACAAGGGAGTCATGGAGAGCGTGGTCCTTCCAGAAAGCAGATAAGGGTGGGGAGGGAAAAATGTCTTTGGTAGTGAGGTCGGATTGCAGATGGCGGAAGTGTCGGAGGATGATGCGTTGGATCTGGAGGTTGGTGGGGTGGTACGTGAGGATGAGGGGGATTCTGTTTTGCTTATTATTGCGGGGAGGGGGTGTGAGGGATGAGTTGCGGGAAATGCGAGAGACACAGTCGAGGGCGTTTTCGGCCACTGTGGAGGGGAAGTCGTGGTCCTTGAAAAACAAGGACAACTGAGATGTACGGGAGTGGAATGTCTCATCTTGGGAGCAGATGCGGCGGAGGCAAAGGAATTGGGAATCGGGGATGGCCTTTTTGCAGGAAGGTGAATGAGAGGAGGTGTACTCTAGGTAGCTGTGGGAGTCGGTAGGCTTGAAATGGATATCGGTTTCGAGAGATGGAAATAGAGAGGTCCAGGAAGGGGAGAGAGGTAGCAGAGATGGTCCAGGTGAACTTAAGGTTGGGGTGGAAGGTGTTAGTGAAGTGGATGAACTGTTTGAGCTCCTCGTGGGAGCACGAGGCGGCGCCGATACAGTCATCGATGTAACGGAGGAAGAGGTGGGGGATAGGGCCAGTGTAGCTTTGGAAGAGGGATTGTTCCACGTACCCTACAAAGAGGCAGGCATAGCTTGGGCCCATGCGGGTACCCATGACCACCCCCTTTGTCTGTAGGAAGTGGGAGGAATGGAAGGAGAAGTTGTTAAGGGTGAGGACGAGTTCAGCTAAGCGGATAAGGGTGTCGGTGCAGGGGGACTGGTCGGGCCTGCAGGACAGGAAGAAGCGGAGGGCCTTTAGGCCATCTGCATGGGGAATGTAAGTATATAGGGACTGGACGTCCATCCGCCTCCCCCTTTCTCCCTATTTATTTCAGAATCCCCTTCCCCTCCCCCATTTCTGAAGATGGGTTTAGACCTGAAATGTCAGCCTTCCTGTTCCTCTGATGCTGCTTGGCCTGCTGTGTTCATCCAGCCCTACACCTTGTTATCTCAGATTCTCCAGCATCAGCAGTTCCTACTGTCTCTGTACCAGTTCTAATCATATGGCCGAGGCTTTGGGTTGAGACACTATTCTAACAATGTGGTTTTCATGTTCCCTCATCAGAAACCATTGTGTTTTTTGTGATAGATAACCTTGGAATCATTTGCGTGAAGTCAAGCCATAATAAGTTTTGATAATCTCTTTTGTTCAGAACTGGCGGAGGTAGCCATTTCACCCACCAGCCCTTTGTGTTGGCTTGGCTGGATTTGTTTATATCAAGCAAAGAGTGTCAGATTCCAGGAGGTGATGAGTTTGCTTTTGCTCTGGCAATTACTGGACATTTCTAGAAGCAGTCAACTTGCTCGATAAGTGTTCGATAACATCCAATTTAAACTGCAGCACAGATCCACTTCTTTTAAAAAAAAGAATTTGAACGCGATAATATAGTGACATATTTTTTAAAAAAATAAGATTTCTCTCTTCCTGCCCTCTGAGCAAGGATTTGGCAGCACTGATAATTAAGAAGGAATTTTATGATAGCAAACATTATTTTCTGTTCAATGTATTATGAGCTAAATGATCTTTAAAAGTTCTGATAGATACTTAACTTGTGCCTGTCAGTGTTTTACCTTCATTATGTTTTTTATCGCATTGCTCACCAAATTGATTTCTCCTTAAATTTTTGAATCAGTATGTTAATATTCAACGGTCTGGTGATTGGATGTCGGCCTAACTGAGGTGAACACTGCATGCTGGATATTTCTTTTCAAATTCTGCCATGTATGTAATTCTTCTGTGTGCAATGTGGCCCGCACACAAACAGCGACAATATTTCATAAGAAATTAATTCACTACAATCACTTTAGAGCAACTGAGGCCTTTAAAGACATTTTTAAAATGTGTTTCTTTTGTTTTGACTCCCAGCTATTTACTCAAAAGCACTTCACCTAATTATCATCTAGTGTGAGAATGGTCCATAGCTGGAAAACATTGTGAATAAAATCACCTCTTTTGATCAGTGCAGTTTCTTCGAATGTGATTTCATTAGTAAAAAAACCAATCTGGCATCCCATCGCAGTATAGCTAGAGCAATGATGTTTTAAAGGTTTTTGTGATTGTGCCATCTTTGTATGTCTGTAACATATTAATATTAATATATCTATATGCACCTCCTGTTTGCTGAACTTGGTGTCGTTATACTCATGATCATTTCTTACTATATATCCTCATCTAATATAAATTCTATATAAACTTGATGCTTATTTGCCTACATGAATATTTTCAAAATCCTTCTCAAACATTCAACTCTCCTCCTTCAATTTTATTTAATTTTTAGATATATTTGTCTATCTAATCTAGATTTAGCTTTTTTATAGAAGATATTTTTGTTAATAAATTTAGTCTGTAGTGATTCATTCAACATAATTCCACTGTTTTCTCCAAGTATAAAATAAAATGTAAATGTTGAGGAAACTTGATTTCTGGTACGATCTTGCTCAGCCGATCTTTTGTCAAAACCATTGACTTTTAAGGTGCCTGCTACAAATGAGTTAAAAAGACTAACAGAATGTTGACTTTTTTCAAAAAGAAGTTACAGAATGCTGGTTAAACCCTGTTTAGTGCGCTAGGTACAGTGAAGCACAGATTCACCAGAATATTATCAGTTGAATGTTGAATTGAATTATAAGGATGCATGGTAAAGACATGGCAGCATCTTCCATCATGGAATCTAACTTCAGCTTCAGGCATGGAAGCGAGCCTTGTGATTGCGTATGCATGTGTGAGTAACCTGATGAATCTTACGAATTTGAAACCCCACCCACCTGTAACTACAGCACACTCAATCACATACAACCCTTCCACCTTTGTTTGGTGACTCTTCCACTCTTGGTCAGGCCCCTTGATTTATGTCCATTTCACTTGACCCTCTCTACCTCAATCACTCTCCATGCCCCGTGCAACTTAGTTTTCTGCCACCTGACATCTATCATGGCATGGAACACTCCCACAAGAAGATAAAGCAGCAGCTACTCTGTCCAATGTCCGGGAGTGTGCCTACTTCACCTAGTGCAGACTTATATCAGTTACATCTAATCATGAATCTGAAGACATGTATTATTCACTTTTTGCAGAACTTAATTGGGAAGGGGAACTGAAATCTGGCAAGCTGGGTTTTTATTGTGCTTGCATGGGAAAGGGTTTCCTGATACTTGCTGCCATGCATCTCAACACACCTATAAAGTTGCAAGAAAATTGCAAATATTCATTGTGCTGTCGTGATTCTGAATTTTGGCATCCTGCACAATTAAGACTTCACCCTCCACCTGCCTTACTTCCCACTTCTGGAAGCAATACACGAGTCCGCCCTCAGTTTCTATCCCCAGAATTTTAAAACATTGGAGGACTTAATAGCATATACAGAGACCAGCTGATTTCCTTTGGGAGTTCTGGAGCAAAGAAACAAAGCCCTAAAACTACTACTTAGCTGTTCTGGGATGATATTAAACAGCATTTCTTCCCATCACATTAAAGTGAGTTTGTTAGATTTTTACTGGGCAAGTTGAAAGTTATGGAACTAAGGTAGGTAGATGAAAC